GTCGTGCAGCTTTAATCGCTTCGAAGGAGGAGGCTTCGGTTTTCACGGGTCCGCGCCCTGCTGGCTACCTCGATCTCGATCGAGGGGCAAGGTTTGATTGCTCCTAAGTAGCTGAAGGCTCTTGAGCGCAGCAGCTCGGACGATCTTCGGCCGTGCGCCGACGTATGCCGAAAGGCACCGTCGCTGGCGCCCTCCAGTTGTGGAGTGCCGAGGACGACTTTCGAAGGGGGAACCCCATTTAATCTCCCTGGATCGTTGAGCTTCGGTCTCAGTGGAGCCTTACCTCACCTCCTCCTCCTCCTCCGCAGGAATCAACGGGATTTACCGGTACCACTACTCCTGGGGCCTCCACCAGGCGTTTAGATATCTGACCATCACCTCGAAGCGAGTGCCAGGTGTCGCAGCGAGAGACTCCCCGCAGACCCCCCTATAAAGATAGCGGTGTCGGCGCCTTGTCCTCATCGCCGCCCTTCCCGGGCAACGACCCAACATTTTCAGAACGTCGACCCCGGAAGTCTGGACCCATTCTCTGGGACCGGCTTCTCGTCCCGGCTTGTTTTCTGGTACTCCCGAAAGCCGGTGAGGGCCTCCGGAAACCGAAAATTGCAAAAAACACGCGTCGCGACTCTTTCATGACCCTGGACCTTTGGGGTCTGGACCCATTCTCTGGGACTGGTTTCTCGTCCCAGCTCGTTCTCCGGAAGCCGAAAATCATAAAAAACCGCGCGTCGTGATTTCCTCAAGCCCCCGGAGGTTTTGGGGGCCCGGTCACTCACACTCCCGAGGGCCGGTATAAGGGCCCCCAGAAGCCGAAAATGATGAAAAACCGCGAGCCGCGATCTCTTCACTAGGGCTCCCAACTTCGCGCTTCGCGCTGCGCCAAGCGCGAAGCGCGAATAACTTCGCGCTCTCGCGCCGCCCTCCCAAAGGGAGAATAGGAGGACGAGGAGGAGGGGGAGAAGGAACGAGGACCGCGAAGCGCGAAGCGCGAATAACTTCGCGCCCTCGAGGGAGCCCTTGCTTCATGACCCCTGGGGCGGCGGGACGAAGGCGGCGGCCGCGGCAGGCCGACGACTCGGTGGCGTCGCGGCGACATGCCGGCGGCAGCTCCGAGGGCTGGCCCCCGGCGCCCTGCGGGAGCGCCGGCGCGGCCGCGAGCATGCCCTGGCGGGCGGCGGGGGGCCAGGGTGCTGGACGCTGGAAGATCACTAGCGGGGGGAAGGGGAGGGGGAGGACGAGGAGGCAGAGGAGGAGGAGGAGGAGGAGGAGGAGGAGGACGACGACGACGACGACGATAAGAGGGATAGGAGGAGGAGGAGGAGGAGGAGGAGGAGGAGGAGGAGGAGGAGGAGGAGGAGGAGGAGGAGGAGGAGGAGAGGAGGAGGAGGAGGGGGGAGGAGGATGCTGGATGCTGGATGCTGGATTGGCCTGCCTCCACAGAAGGCCCGAGAAAGGAAGCCCGCTCGCATCGTGAAGCACACGACGGCAAGTTTCCTTACTTTCGGCCTCTGGGGGCACTTGCCGGGCCTTGGGACCCTCGAGAACGGCCCAGGACAACAACCGGTCCTGGGGAAGGGGTCCAGACCCCTGGGGGTCGACATTGGAAAAAAACTTCACGACGTCGGGGGTCTGGGAGGGGAGGACAGCAGGGGTGGGGCGCGACAGGGTAGGAGGGGAGGGAGGGACGGGGGGGCTCCGCACCACGACCTTCGTGTGCGTCAGCTGGGCGCGAGATGCAGGAAGGGAACGAGCAGAGATCGACCTCGACAGTGCTTGTCGTTGTCTTTTCGTTTCCGTGCTCCCTCGTCTGTTGATTCCAATCCGCCCTTGCCGCACAGCACGAGGCCGAAACGAACACGGCCCACGAAGTAGTCAAAGCACCGTTGAGGCCGACCCCAGACCCCGACGTCGTGAGTTGTTCGCAACATCTTTCCCCAAAAAGGTCTGGAGCCTGCCGCGGGACCGTTTTTTCATCCTGAGTTGTTTTGTTGACGGTCCCGGGGCTCGGTAAGGACTCCCAGAGGCCGAAAACAGCGAAACACCTCCCCTCGAGATTGTTTCACAACGCGAGGGGGTCTGGGACCCCTGGCTGGAGGAGGAGGAGGAGGAGGAGGAGGAGGAGGAGGAGGAGGAGGAGGAGGAGGAGGAGGAGGAGGAGGAGGGGAGAGAGAGGGCTAGAGAGCCCAACAATCTTGGGAGGTCCTCCAGGGCCGGAGACCCAGGCCCCCCCGGGGGGGATCCTGGAGGGGGTGGAGACCCGGGCTCCCCTTTGGGGCTCCTAATGGGGGGCTCAGGCTCCTGCAGAACCGCCCGTCATGTTTGGTCCATGACGCGAGCTCGCGCCATGGAAGCATGGTGACGGGCGGTTCTGCATGCGTTTCGGCCCCCGCGGGACCGTTCAGACACAGCTCAGGATGCAACACCGGTCCCGGGGAAGGGGCCGAGACCTCCACGGGCCACGCACCAAACCAAAAATTGGAGCAGCCGGAGGACTGGGCAGGTCAGGGGCCCAGACCCCCGACGCCATGACTTTTTCACTGCGTCGGCCCCCACAGGTCTCGACCTGTTCCCCGGGACCGGCGTTTCATCCTGAGCCGTTGCTTGACGGTCCCGAGGGCCGGTAAGGGCCTCCAGGGGCTGAAAATAGCAAGAGAAAAACACCTCCCGCCATGATCATTTCACTACCCGAGGGGGTCTGGGGGGCGGGGTAACACTTCCAGGGGCCGAGGAGCGAGAAAGTTTCGCCAGAAGGTGGGGGTCCTCGCCTGCTTCCCGGGGCTTCCCGAAGGGGACTCTGTGCGTGCGCAGCCCGGCGCATCACCGCCCCGAGGGGGAGGGAAAGGAGGGAGAGGAGGGAGAGGAGGGGAGGGAGGAGGGAGGAGGGAGGAGGGAGGAGGCAGGGAAGAGACGGAGGGAGGAGGGAGGAGGCAGGAGGGAACAGGGAGGAGGGAGGAAGGAGGAGGGAGGAGAAAGAGTCGATGGACATCGAGGCGCCGTCGTCTTCGTAGCCGCCGCCGCTGACGACAACGACGACGACGCGGGGCCTGCCCGGGGTGCTGCGTCGCGTCCGCGGCCTGCTCCGCAGTGCGGCCGAAGATGCAGCCGTCCTCGCAGTCGGCGGCCATCTCGGCGCAGACCTGCCGTTCTTTCACGAGCGGCGAACTCTTTCTTTTCCTGGTGAGGCTGGACGGGGAACCAGCTGCGCAGTCGGAGAATAATTCAAAGCACGCAAGGGAGCCTCGAGCAGTCTGGGCTTGGCTGGATGCCTGCGGGCGGCGAGGCAGACCTTCCTTCGCAGGTCGTTTTCGCGGCCCTCGCGGCGCAGACCTGCAGGGTTTCACGAGCGGCGGACACATCCGCGCCCTCGCAGTCTGGACTCCGGGGGCGTGGCCCCGCGGACACGCGCCCACACCTTTCTCACCAGCGAAGGGGGGCCCGGTGTGGCAGAGTGCAGGGCGACGACACGGCACGACGACGAACACGACAGACGACAGACGAGAAAGCCCGCGGGGCGGGGAGGGGGGCGGAGGAGGGGAGGGGGGAGGGCCAAGGAGCCGCGCCGGCCCGCGCGCGCGCGGTCGCGCGGGTCCATTCCACGCGGGGCATTCGCGAACCATGCTCCGTGTCCGCGGGTTCGCGGCCGAGGGGCGGGGCCCGCGAGGCCGCGGACGCATGTGTTTCGCCCATGGGTTTTGGTAGCCCAGGAGGGCGGGGGGCGGTTTCGAGTCGAGGCTTAAGGCAATCGGGCGTTTTCAGCATCGGGGCGCGCTTCAGCAGCGGAGCTTCGGCGAGGGCTTTCCGGGAGGTCCCGGATCGTCCCGAAGGGCCGCCGGGGCCCCGAGTTCTGAACCGAAGGGGGGGGGACCCAGACTTCCTCGCGTCGCGACAAAAATCACGACGGGAGGTTTTTTGCAATTTTCGTCCCCCATGGGCCCTTACCAGGTCCCAGGGCCATCAGAGACACAACCGAGGATCAGACGCCGGTCCCGGGGGAAGGGGTCGAGACCTCTGGGGGCCCACGTGGAACAAAACGCTTACGTCGTAGCGCGACAGAGCCAGTCCGCACGCGCGCTCAGGCAAGCCAGGTAACCCTGAGATCCTGAGATGCGACGTTTTAAAAAGATTGAGGCGCCGTGTTGAAAAACGCGCCGGAACCGTATACCCACTCTTTATGCCATATTTTTCGAAGCGGATCGATATGTAAGGGTCCCAAGGCCAGAGAGAAATCGAAAACGCCCAGCTCGACAAAATTGAGACACCAGGATCCCAAAGATCCGATGTAGTGTTTATCAATACGGGATTCCCAAAAGTCTCGACCCATTCCACAAGACCGGCTTTTCTTCCTGAGTCGTTTTTTGACGGTCCCGGAACCCGGCGAGGGCCTCTAGAGGCTGAAAGCGGCCAAAAACCTCCGTCTTGATTTTTTCAATGCGCTGGATCTCTGGGATCTCAGGGAACGGCATCGCGTCCTGCAGCGAGAGCGTGGAGCAAAAGCAGACGCACAAACGTTGGGGGAGGGGGGCGGGCGCGGCGGGTCTCGCACTTGAGGGGTGGGGGGCTGCGCCTTCCCCCCTCGCCCTCCCCCCCAGGTAGGGCGAGGGGATGGGGGCGAGGAGAGGGGGGAGGAGCGAGGGAGCGGGTCGAAGGGGGGCGGGAGGTGACGGGAGGGGGTGGGAGGAGAGACAGGAATAGACAGAGAGAAACACACACAGACAGAGAGAAAGAGAGAGAGAGAGAGAAAGACAGATAGATCGATATATAAATCGAGAGGGGAAGATAGAAAAACAAACAAAAATAAAGCACAAACAAAAAACAACACAAAACATATATGTGAGTAAGAGTGAGGGGTGGAGGAGAAGAGACTACAAGGAAGGTCCAGGGAGGGATGAGAAAGAGAGGAGGGAAGATATGGACGAGGCCATGGGAGGAACGGCAAAGGATAACGACCATGGGGGAGGCGAGAAAAGAGGGGGGAGCGAGATTGAGATGGTGAGTGATGG